CAAAGATTTCTTAAATAGGACACAAAAAATATAAACAATAAAGGAAAAAAATAGATAAGTTAGACTTCAACAAAATTAAAGCTTTTGCTTTTTAAAAGATAGTTAAGGAAATTGAGAGAAAAGCCATAGGCTGGGAGAAAATTTTGAAAACCATATAGTATCTCCAGAATAAATAATTCCTACAACTTGATAAGAAGATAATTGATTTAAAATGGGCAAAAGATTTGAACACTTTATAAAAGAATATATATAAATGGCAAATAAGCATAAAAAGATGCTCAGTATCATTACATTATCATTAGGGAAACACAAATTAAAACCACCTATTAGAATTACTAACATCATAACACCAAGTGTTGGTAAGGATTTGGAGCAACAAGAACTCATATATTGCTGGTGGGAATGTAAAATGGTAGAACCACTTCAGAGGGCTTCTTAGAAAGATAAACAGATGTTTACATATGATCTAGAAATTTTACTTCTAGGTATTTATCCTAGAGATATGAAGATATATGTCCACATGAAGGCTTGTACACCAAAACTGAAAACAACATGGACGTCCATTAACAATGGTGAATAAACAAACTGTGAAATATTCATACAAGGAAATCCTACTCAGCAATAAAAAGGAATCATGCAACAATGTGGGTGGATCTCAAGACATTATGCTGAGCAAAAGAAGCCAGACACAAAACAGTATATATGTATGATTCCACTTACATCAAACTCTAGAAAAGACAAATCTAATCTTTAGAGACAAAAACAGATTAACTGTTGCCTGGAGTAAATGTGTGTATGGGGGATTGAATGGGATGGGGCACAGAGATAACTTTTTTGTGTGATGGAAATGTTCTGTGCCTTCATTGTGATGGTGACATGGGTATATACATTCATCAAACCTTATAGAACTGTACCCTTGAAATGTTTTATTTCATATAAAATATATGTACAATTTTTAGTAAAGTTGGCTTAAATGAAAAATTGAGACTTCCACAGGCAACTCCACAAACCAAGTTGGTGGGTAAAACAGCTGTGTGACATTGGACATGTTAGTCATCACTAACTTGCTCTGAATAAAACAAGTTCCCTCATCAGTAAAATGAGTGAATTAGAATATTTCATTCGTTCAGTAAATAAACATTTATTAAAACTTACTATGGGTCAAGTACTGTGCTAGGTTCTAGAGATATAAAGCTGAAAAGAAACAATTTTTGCCTTCAAGGAGTTACAGTCTATTGGAAGAAAAGGACAAGCTAATGTGATTATGATACAGCTTATGCATATTTAGGGCTTGAGGAGGATTCTTAAGAGAAGGAGTCTTCCCTGATGATGCAACACCTGAGTTGGGTTTTGAGGTTCAAGATAAGAGTTAGGTAAAGAGGGAGGAAAAGGCATTCTAAGCAGAAGGAGCTGTATGACCAAAGGGCCAAAGGCAAAAAATGTACCTATGTTAGGTACTTCAGGTAGCTTGGTAGGTCTGGAACACAGAATTCATCATTGTAAGGTCATGGTTGTGTCTTGATTGAAAGAAGTTAAAAAATACTACTGTAGTTTGAGCAGCATGTTGACAGAGGTTCCGTACCAAATGATGATACCCATATTACAGTGGGTCACCTAAGAAGACAATAACTACCATTAGTTAGGAACCTTTCCGTTGCAAGAAAATTTTTTGGCTCATGTAACAAAATAGTCCAGGGGTTTTGGCTCATGTAACAAAATGGTCCAGGGGTAGACTGGTGGATTGTCATCTAGAGATCAACAAGGACAAAAGAGCAGCTTTTCACTGTCTCCATTCCTGCACTGCAGCAGCTCCAGACCCTACCTCCTTTCTTTTTCACATCTAGCTTCCCTGAAAGATTAAACCAAAGCCTTGTAATCAAGTTTAATGGACCTCCGTGGTCTTAGGTGTTGCACTGATCTTGAAGCAATCTCTGTGGCAGAGAGATGGTGCATGATGACTGCTTGGCCAGAACCCAGAGGTCCTGAGGGTGGGAGTCAGCCCTACCTGAAGCACATGGAGCAGTGAGAAGATCTCCAAATAAAACCTAGAGCCTTTGTGGAAGAAGGAAGACTAGATAGGGAGGACAAATCATGTTTTAAGGAAAACAGATTCCAGCCATTTTAAAACAAGTCAGGGGATACAAACACATATGGACAAATTTCTTTTTGCATCTTCCATACCTAGGATAAGTCAATGAAAGTTGCCTCGAGAATAAAGTGACATAATCAGAATACATATATAAAAAAAACTATCACTCGATGTTATAAGCACCACAAAGTCAAGGATTTGGATCCCCGCACTAGTCAGCCACCAAAAAAAAAAAAAAAAAAGCACCAAGAATAAATTAACAGTTTTATGAGAACAACAAAGAAAAGGGAATAATTAACGCTAATTTATAGGCTCCAGGGTATCGTCACAATGGAGGAGGTTTGTTTGAGAGGCCTTGAAAAATGAAGATCTTTCTGATAGAGATGAAATGAATAGCCATAGCTGGTTGAGGATCAGCATGTAATCTGGTGAGGCTGAAGTATAGAATGATGGGTCAGCGTGGGAACATAGAAATGGAAAGACCAAGCTGTGAAGAACTTTTCCAGCTACGCTACAGAGCTGGACTTTATCCTTTAGGCAATGGGGTTTGTTGAATTTTTTAAGTATGTAAGTGACGCAATCACATCTGAATTTAGAGAACTATGGGAATAGAATAGACACTTCTTGAGACAAGAAGGCACATGGAGGGATAAAACTAAGTTCTGAAGTAGAAGACTGAGGGAGCTCAAACCTAATGGTCCCTATCTTCCCTGTGAAATGGGAGGACAGAGAACGCACTGAGTGTGACGGGTGCTGTGCAGTCAAGATAAGTTGTTCCAAATAAAAGGATATGCCATGCATGGTCCATTCACTTTTTATAGATAAAGTCTCAACTATCAAATAAAAAGATACAAATGATAATGAAGTTGGGCATTCTTCATATATTATCTTCTCCCACTTGACCTTAAATTATCATACATAAAATTAATTGCCAACAATGTCATATAATTTGCTTGTTGCTATGCAGTTTACAAAATCACTTTTAAACATATTTCTCATTTGGTCCTTTACAACCCTGTAAGGTAAACAGAACAAACACAATAATTTCCTATTGTCTGTCACACTCCAATTACTGATAAAAGAGATTAAATTATCTAGGGATTTATGGCCTAAACTAGAATCCCCCTGTCTTGGGTGCTAGACCACTATAATATCCCTTTTAAAAAAGCTAAAGAAAGAAGCAAAGACAGGCATATCTGTACACATTTGATCCTAATCATTTAAAACTCACTTTCTTGTTAATAGTTTTGTCATTTTCTCAGAGTGAGGGAAGGAGGGAGACGGTAGTCATAAGTATGCATGTGCTGTTCTCTCGGTGAATGTGCATTTGGGTACACAGAATGGCAAAGCATATGATTATAGCTGTATCACCTTCAAAAGCAGTAAAATGGAGTTTATTTAGAATTAACCACAGAATAAATTATTATTTAGTCCTCAGTAAGTCAAGTGCCTGATGAATAAAAGCATATAACATAGATTTTCAAATTAATAAACTAGTTACACCAAACTTTACCACACTTGAAGTCTTGTGCTAAACCTCACACATTTGCTAATATATACTGTTAAAATAAAAGACTCATGAAATACATTTGGATAAACCTAATAAAATTCTAGGCAATCAGTAAGAGTATCAATCTACTAACTTAGAGTTTTATTGAAGTAATCAGTATCTTGAATTTGAAGTTAAAAATGAAAGACAATGGTTTTTGGACTTTTTCCCCACTTACTGGTATTCCATATTACAGAAATGGTAGGTCTTTAGGAAGTAATATAAAATAATTCCCCAGTCTTGTGTACTAGACCACTACATTAATCCTTTTTAAAAAGCTTACGAATATTTTCCTAAAGAAAGAAGCAAACATAGGCATATCTGTACATATTTGACCCTAATCATTTACAATTCCTTCACTTATAATAAAGACCAAAATAAGATTGATGACTTGCATAATAATAATAGTAATAACAGTTCTAGAATGAATGTATACTACCTACTTCTAGTCTCTTTCAGCTGCTCTGCCCTAGAAATAAATCTTGTTAAACGAAGCTTCAGCAAAAGTGGATGTGGTTTTGATTCTTCATTCCCTTCATTCCTTGGGGTGTCCTCCTTGTATGGTTCCAACGTGAAAAACCTGGCAAGAGGCATCAGCAGTATCAAGTCTTCTAAGCAAGAGATTGAGGATTGAGCAGTGTGAAGGGATCACCCCATACGTTTTGGACTTTCAGAGAGCAAAGAATAAAATATTGCCAGCTGAAGACAATTGTATTCCTTCTTCAGTAGAGACATTTAAGGGAGCAATAAAACAGAGAGGGAATCTAGAAAATCCCTGGAGAGTGAAAAGTTCTAAAAACACCAAAATACATATGAATTCCTACTTTTAAGCACTATCTTTTTAAGTCTTCTCATACCCTACTCCACCCCGGCTCTGAATGAAGAGCAATTTATAAGACAAAACAATACATTTTCTAGAGATAACTTTATAAACTGACATAAAAGAATCGTCAAAGAAGCTACATTACTTCTTGAAGTTTATTACAGTTTCTTTAGCTCTTATTGCATATATGCCAAAATACATATGAATTCCTACTTTTAAGCACTATCTTTTTAAGTCTCCTCATACCCTACCCCATCCCGGCTCTGAATGAAGAGCAATTTATAAGACAAAACAATACATTTTCTAGAGATAACTTTATAAACTGACATAAAAGAATCATCAAAGAAGCTACATTACTTCTTGAAGTTTATTACAGTTTCTTTAGCTCTTATTGCATATATTGTTCATGCCTTTTACAAGTCAGAATTTTATATATATATGCTTAATTTAGCGGAATCCCTTCTCTTGAAAATCAGCAGCATGCAATGCAATATTTGGTGCGCAAAGTTATTGTTTCAAAAAGTGAAAAACTACTTGGGTTTAACTGAGGAGGGAACATGATCTTTATTGGCTTATATGCAAAGTTTAATTTTGGTTTTATGCAGAGTTTGCATAGTTCATGATTAGCTTCTAATGGAAAATTAGATGTGTTGTCAGTGACCTTGAAGAAGATCAGGTGACAGTAGCAAACAGAAAAATTTGAAGAAGAGGCATAACTTTTAAAGTAGAAAGGTCAGCAAGAACTGCCTGAAACAAAAAACAAAAAGAATTATTAATAGCAAAGTGAAGTTCATGAAATAAGGTATAACAGAAACACCATTACAATGTAATTTTGGCATCAACACACTCTAAATTCTTCAGATTTGCCCTCAATCTCTGTACCAAAGCTACAACTTTCT